AAGTACCGCGGCGAAAATCTAAATTCGCCATCAACACCACCTTGTATAAATTCGCCTTGAATCAGACCATAAATCAGTGGCAGATAGATCGTCTTCTTTTTTCTTTTATAAACTCTCTTAATTTGGCCAGTTCAATGCGAATTGGTACGGTTTCCTGACGTACTGATTTTATCAGTACAGTACTGATTTTTCAACTCTTGTACTGATTTAATTAATTTCTTCAATCAGTACGCTAATGTCCTGATTTTTAAAATGTTTTACTGATTTTTACTGAATTATTAATTCAAACAAAATAATTTAGGATTTTCTTAAGGTTTTTACATAACGTTGGAGCTTCCTTAAACTGTACTGTAAAAAGTAAGAAGAAAATAATTTAATTATAGTTGACATGTTTCAGATAATGTTTGATATGCCCAAGAAATTAATACAACAAAAAGATCAATCATTTTACGGGCATATCGCCGGGTCGTTACATGCCAGTTGCGATAATAATATTATGATGCAGCTTAAGTTATTCAAAAAGAAGGCTGACGATTTTTTGTCGTGTGTTGTTAGTTAACTCGAAAATAACTTTCAGCTTAATAACAACAAATTTTCCTATAACTTACAATTATTTTTTCACAATTTACTGACATTGTTAAAGAGTTGTGCATGCGTAACATAGAGTTAGATACACTTTTTAGCGAATTCTCAGTCCTTCAAAGTTTTTGCGTAGTTGAAAAAAATAATTTAAGCCATGAGGAAATATAGATGAAGTCCTTGAATAGTGGTACTTTTCCTCAGTTTGAAAGAAATATGTAATTTAGTTTTCTTTCAATACCACACTCAAACGAAGCAACTGAGAGGATCTTAAGTATATAGCATGATAAAAATATAGTAAGGTAGAACCGCTGAGAGTCACTTTTGAAATTCTTGACGTTTCCAAACAATTTAATTTTTAAATTTACTCACAAACTCACACACACATTTTCATTTTCAATCTCAAGCAACAACAATTTCGAACAATTTCAATTTTTTATTTTTACTTTTATATGATTTTAAAATGTTGGCAAACTTCAAAAAAAAATCATGACCGACAAATTGAGAGAACGGTTCTACCTTGCTATGTTTTTATCATGGTATATAGTTTCCTTCCTGGCGAAAAGAGAGAAATCGGCTTCTAATTAAAATTTTTTTATTTTTGATATTTTTCTTGAGCTTTGTACCACGATTGTTTATTAGGAAAGATTGAAAAAGCAACAAAGTCTAAGCGATAGAAGTTATAGCAGCTATTTCGGAGATCACCACATCTCCTCATCAGACTTCTTTTTTTTTTTTCTAGACTTCAGCAGGGATCGAACATGCGTCATCGATGTTCAAAGTCAGAAGCGTTAACCACTGAGCTATGTACATCCCGTAAACTCTTGTTGCTAATTCATAGCTCAGTGGTTAAACGCTTCGGACTTTGAACATCGATTACGCAGGTTCGATCCCTGCTGAAATCTAGAAAAAAAAAGAAGTCTGATGAGGAGATGTGGTGATCTCCGAAATAGCTGCTATAACTTCTACCGCGATTTTGTTGCTTTTTCAATTTTTCCTAATAAAAAATCGTGGTACCAAGCTCAAGAAAAATATTAAAAATAAAAATGTTAATAAGCCACAATAACATTGACAAATACATAGTTTAGGAAGAGCCTGCCTGAAACTATACAACAAAGCAAATGGATGTATAGAATTGACAACAACAACCACGCTGTCGAGTTTAAATAGCGGCAAATCAGCTGCACTTGATAGTAGTTGGTTGAATAAGGAAAAAGAATTTGCAACAAGAGTTTACGGGATGTACATAGCTCAGTGGTTAACGCTTCTGACTTTGAACATCGATTACGCAGGTTCGATCCCTGCTCAAGTCTAGAACAAAAAAGAAGGCTGATGAGGAGATGTGGTGATCTCCAAAATAGCTGCTATAACTTCTACCGCTTAGACTTTGTTGCTTTTTCAATTTTTCCTAATAAACAATCGTGGTACAAAGCTAAAGAAAAATATTAAAAATAAAAATGTTAATAAGCCACAATAACATTGTCAAATTGTTTAAAGTGAACTTCAAATTAAAAGTAATTTTAAAATGAAATTTATAGAATTCTTTGACTATTTAAACACTGAAGATGGATATGATCTCATTATTGCTATTCAAAAATCTCATAAATATAAAATAATTTATTGGCCTCTGTTTACAATGATATCAACACTGATGTTAAAATGAATAACACTTTTATTTTTTATGAACTATATTCTATTTATATACCAAAATGGTGTTAAAAACAAGTTCTCTGGCACTTTAAAGTAATATCTGTTACTTACATTCATAATTTTGCTTAAATAAAAATGTACTGAAAAGTACTGATTCTTTTAGCAAAAAACAGTCTAACGTACTGATTTTGCGCATAAAAAATCTGGCAACCCTACGAATGGTGTGGCCGTCTTACAGGAACTTTCTTTCAAAAACCTAACCAAAATTTGGGAAGAAGGTTGGACGGTTTCATTACTCTCTCACATAAAGGAGTCACGATTTATATTTTTTCCGAAAAAATGTCTTACGAGAACTTGCTTTCAAAAACCTAACCAAAACTTGGAAAGAAGGTTGTACGGTTTCATTACCTTTACACATAAAGGAGTCACGATTTAGATTTTTTCCGAAAACATTTCTTATGAGTAATTCTGGATTTTTGGATAGCGTATACGCCACTATTGCCTTTGCTGAAAAAATGTACATATATATGTTTTTTGTAGTGTGTAGTTTACAGAGGACAGGTGTTGCCTCAATTCCATTATTTCCTTAACTATCTGCTAATGGGACATCTTATTAGATTTAAAACAAATTAAAAGGAATTCGAAGACTGTGCAATATATTGTATTACGTTTGAGTGATATTTTCTGCCGCGGTGTTTTGTGTAGCTGCTAGTGACGCAGTTTCCCAACTAAAATTGAAAAAAGTAGAGTTTCGAAAAACTAAGCTTTTTTAATTCTTATCAAAGAGTTAGCTGAATACCAATATAGAAAAATTTTATGTTTCTGTGCGTTTGCTTTTCCTGACTGGTGCACTGCATTATAAAAAGGCGCCAAATTCAATACTCGCTCAGAGAGGTCGGATGGCCCGGCCCTATCTATAGGTCTATAGAAACTATTAGTGTTGCGTCTTAGTATCTACTTACCATAGAACCAAGTAATGCCGATAACTTCAAAAACTGAGAGAGAGAATACAATAAAAGTTCCAGCAAAATAGTCCACAAGATTTAAAATCCATTGTCCACCCTGTTATGAAAAAATATCAATGAATATGTTATGAATACTACATATACATATTCGTATGCATGTATGTATGTAAAACAGGCGTTGAACTAGAACTCACCGGGGTCACATACGTTATGCCGACGCCAAATCCTATTATTGTTACAGCCAACGAAACCAACCAGAATTTTTTCAACTTAAACTGATCGCAAAGAATTGTAACGACTGTACTTTGCAGTGCTGCTAAGGTTCCGATTCCCAGGACAAAGAGCATGAAAAAGAATAACACCGAAAAGAGCTTTTCGGTTGTAATAGAGTCTGGTTTAGTGTTATTTTTTTAAATGCTTTTTGAATAATGATTTGTTAAATTATTCCGGCAGCAACGCAAATAATGCACTAAAGTCCAATTTGATCACTGACACAGGGCAAATTTCTGATCAAAATTACTTGGCATTTAAGTTATGTAATTGTGAATTCGTATTCGAAATCAGGGTTGGATTTTTCATATTTGAATAGCCGACATTGGTCATTTAAATACAGTTTAAATATTTAAACTGAAAATGAAGATTTTCTAGTCAGCTCTTAAATTGCTCATCTGAAATTGGCCCTTAGCCAGTGTCATAGTTAGGAGTGGGAGAAGTGATAGATCGTCATTACATTGTGCTTTCTACATTTCCATTAAATGAATAATAACATTTTACGCATTTATATATTTTTTTACTACATTCTTTTATCAGCTGCAAAAACTTGTCAAATTTCCATTGTAAATTTTCTTCGAGTGAACGTATGCATGGCAACTAAACTATCAGGCCGATTCTGAACAGAACTCCCTGGGAGTTTTCTCTCTTTTCCCTTTCTTCTATCATGAATAAAACTTCCCTGAGGATTTTTTATATTAAATGGCGGAGTTGAGCTGTCAAAAGAGTGTCAAACAGCTTTTTCGAAGTTCGAATTTCCTCCTCCCAAATTTTCGGTGAAAATGCTACTCCCTGGGAGTTAATTATTGGAGGATTTCTTTCTCGGGAGAAACGAATTCCCGGAGAACAAACTCCCCGGGAGTATTAAGAATGGGGCTGTATTTGTATTTAGGGAATTCACAAGGTCACAGCAATCATATTCTCATATAGTCATCAATTTTAAAACGTTTAAGTTTTGTCGTGCTCCGATTCACTTAAAAAATGACCTTAAAAAATTCATGACATCATAACAATATGACTAGTTGTGATACCTTATGAACCCCAATTGTTTACATTTCCTGAACTCACAAATGTTTCTTTATTTTATTTTTTAAGCCACATTTTACGCATTACATTAAATTTTATTATTTGAATTTTGGGCATTGTTTATTGATAAATTTTAACAAAAATCTTTTAATGCGTGAATTAAAAACGTATGACATTTAACTTTTTAAAAGAAGTAACTTTTGCTCAAACATCAAAGCCCTGGCTTGCAGTGTAAAAATTGCAGCGAAATTGGTCACCGCATTAAGTGCTCTTTCAAAAACTTAAGAGGTTTTTCGATTGCAGAAACAAATTTTAAAATTTGTTGGACTGTGTACCTAAAAAATCATATACACCCAGAAAAAGGTTTATTTATAATAACCAAGATTTGGTTATAGTGATCAAGTGGCATAGTTGGATATGGCGAAACAAATATATAGTTCACGAAAGTCTGCAATTTACTTAGGACTTCTAGTTGGGACAAATGTATATTTGTTAATAATTACAAAACGACTGCCTTGATTGGACAATATCGTTAGTTGAATAAAATCATTGTTGAGCAAATATAAACAATGCTTTGGTTGATACAAGTTGTCAATTAATTTTGTGAACTTGCTGTAGACTTGAATCAGCTAACCGTTTATTATTGGAAAAAAAGTTTCAGTTTGGCACAAATAAAAATTTACTCGATGTTTGTTGTGTTATGTTTGTTATATTAAGCATAAAAAATACGTACATATTTACATAAGTTAGTTACTAAAGTAAATAATACATATGTATGTGGTGGTAAGAATTTCCTAAAAAACAACGATGAAACAGGAACAGTCGGCGAAAGCCCAGGTCAATATCTGCTGGAAGTATACAGCTTTGCTTTTTCCTTGCCTAAATAAACACCTTCAAATTATAATTCACATGAATTATATATCCACTGAAAACCCCCGGTTGGCATCAAACTTTATATTTTTAAATAACTATGTGCGCACCGAAACAACTCGCGGTGATAGAAAAACTGAGACAAACAATTCTGTGTATGTCATAGTACACACTTTTCTTTCTCTACCTAGCGCAGCGATCGACATGCCATAGCTTACTGAGCGCTCTGGGACCACATGCGTGTTTCAGCCATATACGAATAGCGGTAGCGGAGCACTGATTTCCACGCACAATGCAATGGTCGGCATACTAGCCCATTCAAACGATTCAATAAGTGGGACTGTGTGCATTGCTCAGCTGGCGCTCTTCGTATGTGAAACACACATTTGCTCAGAGCGCGCACAGCATTCTTTAGGGGTGGCTCACAAGCACGAATATGTTCCACTCTCAAACCAAATCGTGGTTGCCTCAACTAAGATTTGGTAACTATGACTAAACCATGTGTTGAAAGAAAGCTTATCTGCATTAGCAGAGCTTAATAATATCCTTTTATGAACCATACGTTAAGTTGAATGGAATTTGTAGAAATATGCTTCAAAGAAATATTTATTAGTATTAACCAAACCCTTCAACTAAATTAACGATTTGTTACAACCTATGTAGATGAAGATTAGATTTAGTTATAATTACCAACCCATGGTAATAGTTCCCAATCCTTGGTAACAGTTCCCAAATATTGTCAAAATTCGGGAACTAAATATCTTTAGTTGTCGAAACTAATCCTTTTTCTCAGTGTACATACATAGTACTAGAGCTTTAAAAAGAATCGACGGCAACGCCGCACAGTATCTGAGAGTGGCAGGAAGTCCTAATTTCGAAATGTGTAGAAATATGTGTCCAACTAAGGGTGTTACCGCCGATGAGTGCGGCCGAACAGTGAAATCTCGATCTGGCAACACCGAACCGGTTCTTATTCTCTGTATCATTTTCTTATCCTTTTGAACTATTTGCCATTTTCAACATCTACATGCATCTAGTATTTTCTATTAAATTTATCTGAATAACTGCGAATGTAAATTTCTATATATATAGCTGCAAGCACTTTAAACTGTACAAACGTGTAGTGAGTTCAATACAAAAAGTTTTAAAGTGCGTAGCCACATGCGTACTATATAAAATTTGTGTTTTATTTCAGTATTCTTCACGTTTGCCGCGCTATAGAGTAAGCGCAACAAAGGGGTTGACTCGATTCTAAACATGTCTAGTAACAGGTTTTAAGGATTTTTTTCGAGAAAAACTACTCTAGCAGTTATCAAAGGACTCAGGAAGTCCGTGTTGTATGAATTGGATTTTTACGTAGGAATTTGAATACGCATTTTACCGGCTCAGAAACGGTAGTTGAATGATCTATTGAAACTGGATTTGTCTCCATCTGCAATATCAATAGTATGCAAGGATGGCTCCAAGTCATATCCTCTTAATTTTTCCTAGTCCTTACTGAGTTAAGGATATTTCTGTGATATTATGCATTTTAAATGTTTTTATGCGAGTATAAGTAGCTTGCGGCGCCGTGCGGTGGAGGGTGATTGGTACAAAAATACTTTACTTACACTTTAAACCAGAGGTGGCTAAAACTCACACAATCATATATTTAAATTTTGATAAACGATGAGAGAATGAAGAGAAGAAGTCGCTCACGCGTCTGATGGAAGCAGTGTTGTCAACGATTTCGAGTTGCAAATTATAAGAAAATGGTATTTTTTTTATTATGTATTGTGTGAAAAGTAGAGATTATATTAAAGAATTAACCTTTTAATATAGTTTAATTCACTTTCATTGCTTGCTTAGATCTTTTATTATAATTAAAATTAAAATTTACTGTGTCTTGCATCGAATCGATTGCTTCAAAGTTTCGCATTGATTGAGCACGATCACAGCAAAACCATAATCGTCGGCATGGATCTGTGAAAGCAGCGCCGTTTTTCTCGAGTACGTGTGAAAGCAGAATAGAAACTAAACTAATAGCAAGACAAATTTCAGCTGTGTCCATGTCGTCAATCCGCCATATGCTGAACGCTTCACACTGGTAGATCTCTACATATAAAAGTTGCTGGAAAAGGTAGTAAACATATTTCAATTTAGCCGAAATTTGCTACTTGAACCACCTTCACTAAGGAAAGATAAAGTATGAAAAACTGCCACGCCCACTATACAAAAGGGTGGATATGGTAAATGTTATCCGATTCCAATTAAATTCGGTTTGTAACTTGACTTAAGCTAGGAAGACATATATATATATATATGGGTCATTCCATACAATATTTACACCTTAATATTTTTTTTGGGGTGAAATATATTTTTTTACACTCTTTATCGAAAAAAAAGAAGACATAAATTTTTATATTTCGTCATTATATTCGCAAATCTCGAAAAAAAATCCCGAAATTTTAAACTCACGGAGAAATATCTTTTTTCAATTGTTTGCAGTTAATAAACTATTTGTCGGAGAAAATCTTAAATCTTATGTATAAACTTTATGAAACTTTATGTACGCAGGTATGAAAAATTCGTAACTTCTGCAGTTTAAAAAAATAAAAATCGAACATGGTGAAGTTAATGAAAAAAATAAAATAATGAAATTTTTGAATGCAAATTTTTTTTTTATTTTAATCTATCTCACACTCTCATGGAAAGCCGAGGTAATTACGCACATTTTGATACCTTAACTGAATTTCTCCGACAAATAGTTTATTAACTGCAAACAATTGAAGAAGGATCCTTCCCCGTGAGTTCAAAATTTCTGGAATTTTTTTTTCGAGATTTTCGAATATCATGACGAAATAAAAAAAAAATTGTGTCTTCTTTTTTTGATAGAGAATGTAAAAAAATATATTTCATCCCAAAAAAAAAAATTGAGGTGTAAATATGTGAAATATGGTGAAAATGGGCCACTACAATCAGCTATCCCAATTTTGAATTCTAATGGTGAAAATACTAGTAAGGATCCTTGAAAATAGCAAACATTTTGTATTCTAATGGCGCAAGTACTGGTAACGATCCTTTAGAATAGCAAATGGTGCAAGATCTATTTTTGTATAAAAACCTCACTAGTATGCGGGAATGGGAAAGGTTATCCGATTTCAGTGATATTCGGTTTGTAAGGTACAAATCGGTTTTAATAAAATCGGGTAGTATTTCCCAATCC